CTTTTCAGTTGTAGTAGGGACCATCTGGTTGCAGTACGGACCGTCTGGTTGTAGTAGATTTTTTGAAAAATGCCATGAGGTGATCCGCAGAAGCTTCCTGTACTGCCAACATATTCATGACATGACGTGCTTTTTTAAGCATGGATGGTGGGAGTTGGGGGGAGCACAGCCCCCCCGAGCAAAAAGAACGATCCGCAGAACCCTCCCTTGCAACAAACATAGATGGCATGATGCTTCTTTACAGCAAGCATGGCTGGCCTTAAAAAGCAGGGGGGTTGGCGGAGGCGTAGCCCTCGCACGCCCTTCTCAAAACATGGATCACAACATGTAGCTTTTTGCACACCTCTTGATAGGGTTTCTTAGAATTACGCTTGCATTTCCAAAAAATCGTCCCCACATTTCGCCTTGAAATCACTCTCTCGTGTGGCGCATCCTCACATTTTGCTTTCAAACTGAGCCTTGCGTGTAGCGTCCTCACATTCTGCCTCGAAATCGAGCTCTCGCGTGGAACTTGCAGGCCCAGCCTTTCATAAAAAAGATCCTACAAAATTGGAGGGGTTGGGCCCAATTTGCAAAACATTGACTAAGATAAGAAGACTTTTTGTGATAGGTCTTCTTTAGCATTATGCTTGCATTACAACAGAATGAGGGATTGGGGCTGGCGCAGCCCCCTCACTTGCAAAACATGAACGGAGATCAGAACATGGACGAAGAATGACGAAGATGAGAACTTGTACCTCTTTTACCGGATATGTTAAGCAGCGTGCCTGCATTCCAAAATAGCCTGGGGTGGGGGTGGCAAAACATGGACGAAGATCAGAACATGTCGTAGGAATTCCAAACATTTGGCTAAGATGAGAACATTTAGCTTCTTGCACACCTTTTTGATGGGATTTCCTAGCACTGTGCTTGTATTCCAGATTAGCATGGGGCCGAGGGGGCCCTGCACTGGAGGACTGCCGGGACTGCAGGAACAGAGGATCGCAGGATCAGAGGACGAAAGGACCAGAGGCCCGGAAGAGCACAGCACCATAGGGCCAAAAACCTTCTGATAGGACAATTGCAGACACGTGTCACATATGTACGAAGATAACGGATGTAATGCACGACACAAACTCCGAGCTCAGTTGTCTCATGGTCAATCTGACTCTTTTCTAGATTTTCTCATCTCTCATCTCTCTTACACGTTCTTTGTTCCGTTTCGCAGTCGTCTCTGTCTGTCATCTCATCCCAGTCCTTTCTTCTCTCTGCAAATATGCTAGTGAAATCTGCCACTGCTTGCAAAGGAAAAAGCATGTGCTGAACTGACCCTCCATGTTATCGCATCTTGACAGAAATGGTGAACGCAAAGATCTTTTGCATAACATTGTTAAGGGTCCCTTTAATAAGGCTAATATTGATATTAGATGATATTAGCTCACATGAACGTGACGACAGTTGCACGGATCGCGACCCCCAGGGTTCTGATCCCTTTGACCCCTGAAGCTTTTTCACACGCTTCTTGGTCCCCAAGTGACGGCCATTTGACGGATTGCGACCCCCAGGCGCCCTATGCCTGATTGATTGATTGCGCGCCTGTGGGTTTACTTGAACACTTCTGTCCACACTGACGTCTCATTTCTTCATCTCAGCCCTGATGGCACGAACAAGCATGTGGCTGAAATACCTTGGGGCACCGTCGGCAAGTACTGGAACTACAAGTTGAACATAGTGAAATCTGCATACATGCGGAGGCGCCCATCAGTGGGCTGAGCACACAGGATATGAGCAGTACTGCGCCACAGCTGCCTTGCGCTCGCCAGCTCTTGCACGTCACTTGCCCCTCCACGCAAGTGCCGAGGAACAGTGACCCAGAATTTTGAAACATCAATATCAAATCTCCGGGGATGAAATCTAGCTTGATGCCGCACACACGTCACTGGCAGTCCCTTGTGCTGCTGCCACCAGGAAAGGTTGCGCCAGCGTATGGCTTGGCGCGGGCAGCGTCCGTGACCATACCTAAGACCTAAGATATGGCCTATCCACCCACCATGCCAGCGACCGTTGGCACCTTTGAGACCCGACAAGAAAACAATGGCCCAAAAGTGACGTACTTAAACGGATCGCGACCCGCAGGGGCCCATCCCTGCGACTGCTGGCACTGTGGACCCGCGACAAGCGACAATGGCTCAAAAATTAACAACAATTTCACGGATCCTAAACCCAGGCACCCCACGCGTGTGTCTGTTGGCCTTTGTCACATGCAAATGTCCAAAAGTGGCGACAATTTCACGGACTGCGACCACCAGGTGCCCCGAAGACGAAGGCCCAAAAGTTCCAACAGTCACATGAATCGCAACCCTAGGCGCCCCATAGCTGTGACTGCTGGCAATCTTGACACGCGTCCAGAAGATGAAGGCCCAACAGTGACGATCAATCACATGGATCATGACCCCAGGCGCCTCACCGTCACACACGAATCGCGCCCCGCCGGCGCCCCATCCCAATGACTGTTCGCACTTTTGAGGCGCGAGTGTCGAACCAAAATGCGAAACTCGCGGACGCTTTGCACACAAGGCAGCGATATTTGCTCACCTACTGGACCGGCGGACCCCAATCCTTGCAAACGGGAAGCCTGCTGACAAGCATTCGGGAAAAATCCTCCCCCGAAAATAGTTGTTACATTGATGCTCCCCTCAGGACTCGCCACCTGCTCATCGGATGCAATCCGATTGCCCACTGAGCCTGCAAAACAGAGAGGCTGCGGATGTACCGCGGGCACATTGAAAGCATGATGAGAAAGGATCATGCAATGAAATGGTCAGGCCACCAGGCCTGCAAAATCCAGGCGCTCCTCCCCGGAGACCTCAAAGGCAATGCAACAAGTGTCTGTGCGGATGCTGCTTTGTCATGGTCCCGATCACAGGATTTACCCCATGGTGCACGCCTGAATTGCCAGGTCCAGTAAGAGCGTGAGGAAAATCGCAGGCAGCCGGCCAAGGCACATTGCTGCGCAAAAGCCTAGTGAATGAAAAGCCTATTGTGTTAAGAAAGCTGTAACTGAAACTATCATCCCCCCGGCGGCCGGAAAGCCGCCGGAAGCTACCAACCATTGCATGCGACAAACCTGCGACGTTTCCCTGCATCCCATCTGCACTGTGTAGCTGTACCTAAAACTAGAGCCAGTGGCTTCTCCGCAACTGAAAGCTCAGCATGACGTTCCCTGTCTAGAGGAACATCATGCCGTCAATCTAAAGTCTACATAGGGCCGTTGAATCGAAAGCAAAGGACTTGGCCGAAAAAAAGGACGACAGCAGACTCGCAGGCCAGCCGGCCCATTGGAATGGCAACGCCGAATCTGCAATGAGCAGGTCGAGCCTAAACCTCTCTGTTGATATTCTTGTTGCTTACCGACTCCGGATCGACCAGCTGAAGCTTAGAGTACGTCGGTCTATTCAAGTTTGGTACTGTAGCTGCAACTACCAGTACTCAAGGTTTTGAATTTTGCTAATTTTGTTCTGGTGGGAAGACTGTCAAGGTTGTAGAGGTTGTAGAGTGCCGGGAAGTAGGTGTAGGAGCTGGTTGTGTTCAGGTTTGAGGGACAAGGACGGGAGTTGAAATTTTGGCTGAGTTGCCGAGCCGGCAAAACTAGGTAGTGGAACAAGGCTCCTCCAGGCATGGAGGTGAAGGGATTTAGGGTTTTGGGTTTAAAGGTTTAAGGGTCTTAGGAGTCTGAGGGGTTTGTGGCTTTGAATTTTAAGGTTTAGGGTAATTTGTCAGCGCAGTCAGGTAGAATCCACGCAGCCCGTTATATCTTTTGTAACTCGTAAAACCCTTGAGCACAGCATGGAGCAAGATGACGTTGGAGCATCTTGGAGCAAAGGAGGCAACATCAAGGGCTCGAGCTTTCGACTGCCGGTGGCATCTGAGCCTTTGCATAGCCGTGTCACTGTTGGGCGCTTGTGTAGGCGACTTGAGCATCTCAATCTGTGGGTGCGGTGCGGGTTATCAGTGGCTCCAGTCGCATCCAATCTGTGGGTGCGGTGCGGGTTATCAGTGGCTCGCTGAACAGCTTGAACGGCTGCATCATTGAAATTTGGCTGGCATTTCCGCCCCGCTTTCCATGCTTCATTTGCTTGGGGGATGAGCCCAGGTAAAAACTGCCCTGATAGTCAAAGGAAACGACATCACTCCATCCCTAGTATCTTCTAGTTACCTTCTCCATCCTTCTTGCCGGTCAGGAGCTGCTGGCATCTCCAACAACAGACAAGTCGGACTATGTGACAAATACATGTTGGCATTTTTTTGCTGCCTGGCAATGTTTTCTCCGGGGAAGTTACCTTCACAAGGTCGCACGCAAGCAACTTTGGCTCCTGTGCCCACATGACCATATCATTCCGGTACATGGATGGTGGTGGTACAGGATTGAGCAGCCCTACAGGGCTTAGCAGGCAACTTGGCCAAGGAAGCCAGCTGGGCGCAGCCTACGCCGTTCTCTCAGGTGCGGCAGGAGTAAAGCTACAGCGACCTCAGGCACACAGTGACTGTAAGGAAGTGGCAGCAGTGGTTGATCGATTTTGGAAGTTGCAGCTACAGGAGTCGCGCAAGCTGTGGGACACTGGGCCGTGAGCCACGGGTGCAGGCAAGCCAGCAGCTGCAGGAGCTGCAGGAGGTACTTCCGGACCAGGCCCATTGCCAAAGCCTGCAGCACCTGCAGCACCGTGCCCACCGTAGTCGTATCCCGCATGGCCACTCTCGTAGTAGTGGGCATCCTCGGACTCAAGTGGAAACAGGAAACAACACCAAAGGCGGCCCTACCGAGTCAAGAAGCAGGTGCCATAGGATATCCCCCGTGGTCATCATACTCATCACCCTGACAGCAGCAGGTTGCAAGGCGACCACGCCAATTGTTCCATTCAGAGATCAGTTTGGGGTCGAGCTGGCCACTCTTCTCTGATCTTCTTCGCCTGGAGCACATTTACTTCAGCAGCATGGCTAAAACCAGAAAATGACCTGCAGATGGCCTCCTCCTCCACATTGAGGTCATTTCCGGGCTCAGCCTCCTTGTCGCCACGACCCATGAGTATTGACATGACATTCTGAACCGATGAACTCACTCTTATCCACTTTGATGTCTAGAAGACTGTAGATACGGGAAGCTCATACCTGGAGTAGCATCAACACAAAGCGGGCTTAGACCATCTTTCCAACGTTGTGTGCTTCATTTCGGACTGCTGAAAACAAAGGTCGAACCACCCAGCCTCATTCTCCAGACGAGCTATCTCGGCAGCTGTTTTCGCCTGAAACAAGCATTCGACATCTTATGGTCACATTCCTCCGGGTCCGGCCATGCCTGCTCCAGCTTGTTGATCTGCACCTGCCATGTATAGACTTTCTCAAAATGCTCATTGTGCGAACGAGAGGACACCGGTGGTATCTTACACTTCTCCAATTCAAGTCTTGTCGCTTCATTGCCTCCCTGGGCAAGACTTCTCACTAATTCACCCTAAACTGGCAACCACCAAACCATGAAGGCACCCCGCACACCATTTTTGAGATCCCATAAAGCCAACCGAACTCCACGATATCTCCCGCATTGACCGTGAATATGTCAGGCTTGGGTTCGTTTGTGAAGGTCACTTAGTCAAAGGTCAAGCCTTCGACCTTTACTATCTGCGAACACGCCCCCAAGCTGCTGACACCTATACTCAGCAATCGCACCACCCGCTCTGCTGTCACGAACACGTTTTTTTGCACCAGACTTCATACAGCACCGCCTTTTTGTGCGTGCACTTTACACACCTGGACAAGATATCCGATTTGGGACTTTGCAACCCTGTGCCTTGCATACATTCAGATTGGAAATCCTTGGACCTGCCCGAACTTCCCAGTCCTGAAGTCATCACCTCTTAGTGTTCACGCCAAAGGATGTTGAGTCTGCCAATCCCAAAGCAGACCCCGATCATTAGTACCAATTGCTACGTGAAAATGCATGATTGAATGTCGCAGAAGGACGGGATACTTCAACTCATGTAAAGTTACGCATGGGGGCTTTCCTGCAGCTTGAGTATTGGGACTTACAGTTTAAGTCCACAAGTCATTGTAACAAACTGCACAACAACAATTACCAGGCGAGGAAGCACAGCACCCAAAAGACTGTCACAGACTGTTAAGCAACCCAACGACAGTTTTTGAAAGGAGGCGTATGCGACGCCGATGTTGCCAAGGGATATCAAGAATTAAGAAGCGCAGCAGGAAGAATGACAGCAGCTGCAGCAACAGCACTGATCACCCTCATCTCTTGGCCTCTCTGGCTCGGCAGATCTCCCTCATCTCGTCTTCAGGCTCCGGGAGGTCCCTAGGCACAAGGAACCACCCCAATCCTCGCCTTACTGGGGGATGATGTATTGATCAGAACTAAAAAAGGAACAATGCAGCACCCCAACAGACAGAGCGCTTGTCAACGAGCAGGGCACAATGGAGCGTTAAGTTCCGCTTGCGAACCCATATGCAAGTTACATTCATAAAAAGCTTGCGCCCCAAGACATCCGGCGCTGAGGAAATGAAGAGGTTGCATCTGCAGCATAGCGAAAATATATGAGCAACATCTCTCTTCTTCTTCAGGTGAAAGAGGGCTCTATCCCCAGGGCCCAGCGCGGCACCCAGCGCACCCGGAGGACCGATGCAGGTACAATCAGGATTTTCTTCTTCTTCTTCTTCGGCCTAAGCTGGCCCCTTGCAGGCCAGCCGGGGGACATCCCCGAGCCCTCGCAAGGTCCGCTGATCAGGAGTCGGCACCAGCAAATGTTCGGGAATGCCATTACAGACACGACACATGTCCCTACAATCAGGATATCTCCCTCTCTCTCTCTTGCTACATCTGCCGTCTTTAAAAACACAGCACTCAAAAGCTTCCATCAATAACTCCTTGGCCCGTGCCGTTACATGCTCCTCTGGAAGACAGCACGGTGACAATCAAAAACATCCAAGGTGTGGGCGTTCCCTCGTCGTACAGAGGCAGCTTTGCCTCATCTTTGCAAGCAAGCAAGCGCCGTGATCCGATAAAGATTACCTTTGCGTCATTGCCAGATCTAATTGTTTAGGGTCTTCCCTGGGTTCATTCTGACTGGAAGGTCCACCCTGTTTCAGGGTGTGAAGCCGAGTCATGGCTTTCTAGTTCCGGGATTTTTATTGTCTGCACTGTCTGAATATGGTCAGCAGACACCTATATAAGTGCGGCCAAGTGGGATTGTGCGTACGAAGGTCACTGTGGAAGTCTGACTGCCACAAGAGCTGACCCCAGCACTATGAACTGTCAGCCTTAAAGTCGCAGTCATGCTCACTACTTGAGAGTGCTGGACAACACCAGGACTGGCAGATTCTTGGACTGCAGAACGTTGTAGGAAAAGTGTCTGCACTTTCAAAGTTTCACCTGTTCACCTTGCTCACATTGTCAACACAATCCAGTTACATGAAAACCTCCCATGTGTATGTGAGGGGCCACGCAATGGTACGCCACTTGACTGCAACTATGCCAGGCCTGCAAGGACTTGGAGAGGATGTTGACTTTGTTAATCAACTGCCTGGGGCACACTACACCTGATTTTCTGTCTGCTACATGGCGGGAAAACCCCTAATGCAGATCAACTCACAAGCAGGTCTTTCTACTTGAGCCACAGCCTAGCTGGTCCTAGCTGCGAGGGGAGCTTGATTCACCACCAAGCCTCGTCTTCTCCTTTGCCAAAATGTTCTGCCCTTCATTGTTGACCTGAGCAGCCGCCAACAAAAACTTGAGGGAACCTGTCCTGAAAATCATCTCGGTGCTGCTACTTTTCAAACTGACTTTTCAACAAATCCATCCAGCAACAAACGGCTGATGCTACAAACCGAGCAAAACATTTGCTTGCAGAGAGGAGCACAGCAGGACTGAATTCGGAATCCCGGATCGCATGTGCAGCAAGGCTGCAAGATCCAGCCCAAGCTAACTCCCAAACCTCCACGAGACCCAAGCAGCATAAGCAGCGACAGCAGCGCAGCGGCAGCAGCATTGAAAAAGATTTGCGGCGCGAACCCCCAAGAACTCAAGCGATGGTGAGGCCACGGCTAACAGAAGTGGAGGTCCCTCTCCAAAACCAGCCTCGGGCGCCTCCTCGTAGCCCTCCTCGTAGTCCTGGGTGTAGACCTCGTCATCGTACCTGAGATGGCATTGCAAACCTGCACAATGCACCATGTTCTCTGCTGTGAGGGCCAAGAGGGACCTGTTCGGTTTGCTCGCGGCGTAGAACAAGAAAAACAGAAGAGAAAACTGCCTCATAATAACGAGCCGATACGGTGGGGCCTCCTCCATGTCCACCTCAAACCCACTGTGCTTGGTTCTTTCAAAAGCAACTGTTTAGACAAAGCAGTTACTTACAAAAGACGAGTCTGCTGACCTGGCCTGATCTGGCTCTGCTGGGGGCAAACCGGCACCTGCCTGCACCAGGTCCAGCCCGGCCTCCTCACCTGCACTGCGTGGCCATCAGTCGTCATCGGTCCAAATTTTCTGAAATCACTCCAAAAAAATCTGTGCCTTCGTCAAGCTCGTCTGACCCAGCACTGGGTTCAGCAGGTTCTTCCAAGCCTGAATCCTTCGGCCCTGGAGGGGGCATGCCATAAGGATCGCCATACGGATCGTAAGGATCTGCACCATAGCCACTGGTCCTGGACTCATCATCCCCAACTCCCAAGTACCCACCGCGTCCACCACTGCTTCCATAGCCACCAGTGCCGTACAAATCCCCACCATGCCCGCCGTTTGCCCCGTACGCACCGTCTCCATGCCCTCCACTGCTGTAGCCACCATGTCCATACCCACTTCCATATGCGTTCACGCCATAACTGTGGCGCCCTGGTCCTGGACCAGGTTGGCCCGCACTGAAGCTGCTCCTGCAGAACATGTAAGTTACCCTTAGCCTTTTCATGCCTTTCCCAACATCAGCTGTTCTCTCCCACTGCAGGCTCCAGTTTCGGATGACAGCCCCGCGAGCAGAGCCATTAGGGCGTGAGCGCGGCTCGGAGAGCACCGAAATCAGAAGCTGAGAGGCCTCGCCCAAAAGCAATAACAAGCAATTTGTGACAGAGCACGCATGTCCCACCTTCGACATTGGAACTGGCGAAGCCGCATCTAATGCAATCACAGACACAGGAAAATCTTATGTTTGTTGTGGGCCTCACTCCGACATGTGGCACCATGTCGTGGGGCTATTCTAGCATGCTCTCTTGGTAAGCAGACACACCAGCTACAGTGGTGGGCAATATGCACCGGTCACGCCCGGCCACCTGTCAAACAGTGAAGCAGCTTCCTGCAAAATGAAGCTAGCCGGAACAGCTTTCATCCTTGCAAGACATCTTGCACTTGTGAAACAATGGTCTAGAAAGGTGAAACAGCGTGGAATTGACAAGTTCGCGCGGGTACTGCATGCTTATCAGCAGGGCTGTGCAATGCACTGAAGGCAGGTATGTAGCTTGAGGAGGTGTAAAGAACCCTGACTCATCTACGCATGATCAGGTACATCATGACCAGCGCGCCAACCTGATAGGCCAACTTTTGACTGCACCATTCTCTGCACCATCAAGGTCACTTTAAAGCTTTCATCCACTTCAGCTCTTGAGTACCCAGCTACGCTGCCGCCCGCGAGGTACTCGCCTCGCTTGAGCAAAGCCCGATCCTCCTTCCGGTTCGGATCGTGTGTGACGGCAACCTGCGGGTACGGGGCAGAAATCCAGAGACAATGCTTTGGACAACAGGTTCTTTTTAACCGGGATCCTGGCATAGACGGAGACAAGGCTCCCACCGAAGCAGAGTAGAGCCCCAGCAACCAGAAACACTCTGGCCTGTGAATGCAGGGACTTGAAGCAGATTCTACAACACGAAAAAGTTCAAAGTATAGCGCGTCTGCCATCATCGGCTCCACCCTTCTCAGCGCATCCTGTGCTGGGGACGAGTCTGTAACTTTGGGACGCTCGCACAGGCAGTCAGTCCTCCTCATCATCCTCCTGCAGCGTCTTGCCTGCTGGGGAGTACAAACAGCACATTACCACAAGAGAAGCCACACTTTGTGTGGAGCAGTAACAGCACCTCACTTGAACAAACACCATGACATGGGATGAGCCTTGACGTTGTCCCTCGCTGGGTGTGGAAGGCAGCTGGGAGGATGGGAACTCATCATCCTTGGATCATCTGAGTAGTTAGCTTCCAGATCAGGAGCTGCCAACAATGATTTTGCAACCAGGCATCCCTTTGCTTGCAGGAACGTCGAACTATCACCGAGGGCATATCACTCGGATAACTTCTAACGACATGCACTCCAGGTGCAGAAAAGCGATCAAGCATGGGCAAGGTCCTGCTGGCGCAGCATGAAAGAAAAGGCTGCAAGCACACTTTGAGCAGTCCTTGCCATGGGTCCAAGCCCAAGTCGACTCTGGCTCACCTTGGCAACAGCTTTTGGAAGCTACACAAACCGAAAGGAGAAGTCAAGGCCACAGCTGCAGCTAACCGCCACATGGCCGCAGCCACGCTTGCAGGAAACCACCGGAGCCAAAAGACACTTGGCCATCAGTAATTGTGGTGATCGTTCCAAGAACCTTCTTGGCATAAGCAGCTTCCGCAATCACTGCCATCAAAGCAACTCTGCAAGATCCGACTTTTTTGGTCTCAGAGCACGCACAGACGGAATGCAGCAGAAGACAAGACTATTTCTCATCTTGCGCATCCCAGTCTACGGGTGTAGCATCGTAAAGGGAAATGTAGACTGCCCAACCAACCACATAGAGTGCGATGGACGGCAAGAAAATGGCCTGCGACCAGGATCCTGTTGCCTTAAGCATGTATCCAGCATACGCGTTTGAGCACACTCCTGCCAGAGCACCAAAAGTGGTGGAAATGGCATTGACCAAGGCACTGTACTTTGCACTCAAGTCAGCATGGCTGGAGTAGAGGCCAGCATATGAACAAGCCCCAGACGCTATACCAAAGGTAAGCAGGACAATCGGCATAAGCGAACCCGGCTCCACATTCCCAGTTGTGGCTAGCAGTCCCAACATCAGACAAGGAATAAAGAAGCCGATGCTTTGGAAAAGCTTCCTCACAGAAGTGAGGTCCATGCCATTACCATGGAGGCTATCTGCCAGAATGCCGCTGCCTGCTGCGACGGCAACTGCACAAACGCTGGGGATTACAGTTATCTCGCTACTACCTTCCAGATTGTAGCCTAAGGCTTGGTTGAGATATGTGGGAGTCCACGTCAGCAAGGCATAGCCCCCCCAATCGTGGCAGAAATGGGCCACGACCACACCCCAAAGCTGCGGAGTTCTGAGGATGGATAACCAGGGAATGGCTTCCTCGCTTGCCACAGTGGAGCTTCCCTCACGGTCCTTGCCCTTAAGAAGCCAGACCCCTGCCCAGAGCAGGCCCAAGAATCCGAAGGAATAAAACATGGCTTGCCAGCCCAAACTGTTGATGACAACAGGAGCCAGCAGCAGCCCCGCAATCGAACCGCTGGTCTTCCCGCTGCCCAGGGTGGACACAGCCCGGCTGCGTTCTGACTCCGGCACCCAAGTCGCAACCATGCGGAGACCAGCAGCAGGCGCTAAGCCCTCGCCTATTCCAACAAGAACTCGGCTTGCGATGAACACCTAGGAGGTTCCAAGGGAGATCAGCGGCAGAACAATTTGGGGACCCTCCGACCTGCGTGGACATGCTCGCAGCCACGGGTGCCAGCATTGTTGCACAAGACCAAAGTGTCACGGCGAAGAGGAGCACTCTCTTCCCACCTGGGCTGCAAAAGCTATTCCTGAAGAAGTTGACACCCGGCAGCTCGAGGCCTCTAAGGTTTGCACCGTAGCGTGTTGCAAGAAAGCCGCCGATGATCTGGGTGGCCGCATAGCCCCAAAAGATGGAACTCTGTATCACGCCTCGATCTTTCAACCGAAACATGACAAGGAAATCAAGGTTGGAATGGCCTTCATCGGCGGAGTCCCAGCCCATCTGCTCCGCCATTGGCAGAATGGCCACTGACATATTGACCTTGTCCATCTGCCAAATAACATACCTCACAAGCTGGAAAGAGAGGTTGCTACAAAAAAAACTTACAATCTGCTCGTTGCACTGCTCAGTTCCGACAAGCCACGCAGCAGCCACCAATAGAACAATCAGATTGCGCTCGCTAGGTTCGTTGGGCGGTTCATTTTGCGCAGCTTCAACTGGAGGAGACTCAACACGAGTCTCCACGGCTGTTGCCGCCCAGACCTTGCCGCTGACAAGTCTAAGGCTTCCATTCTTTGCAGGATGCTTCTACCAAAGGGAAAGGCCGCACTGCAATGCTAGCGGGGGGCCCGACGAAATCGATGGGAAGCTTTGCTTCTGCATTGTCTGCGAGCGTGGCACGCTGCGATGGTCAAGCTCAGGCCAAATGCACCTTCCATGTGGGACATCTCCCTATGAATATGAAGCGTGAAATCCTGGAAGCATACTTTTCCATGGAAGGGAAGAACACTTTTGCCAGGAGCCCATTAAGGGGAGAATGAAAATAAGAATGGAGAGGCAATTTGATTAGGATGTGGCGTTTGGTGACTTCCTAGGTCTGTGTGGTGTACATCTGATTTTTGCAGTTTTCAACAAACCATAAACACACGAATCTTGAGGAAGCGTCCTTTTCACTTAGAGATTCTCTTGATTTGATAAAAGCTAACTGTTCGCATGGAATTGTGTACAGCCTGTAGGCATACAAGTATACATATACATACACAAATGCATATGCATGTACATGTACATATACATATACATAGCAAGAGAGAGAGAGAGAGAGAGAGAGAGACCGCTGAGCTATGCAAAGGGAGTCCTTACTCAAGCAGGAGGTTATGTGAAATTCTACAGCTTGATGGAGCCCAGGGATTCTAAATGAATTTTAAATTGGTATTTACCCAATGACCACAAAACCACACTTCTGTTTTCGGCCGGAAGAAGAACGGCTGGTTTGCTGGAAACATCTTGTGACTCCAAGACCAAGATCTTGGCCGGCAAGATAACAGCCTTCAGGCCGCAGAACAGTGCCTTTGCTTCTGGAATCTTCCATATCCTGAGCTGCCCAAGCCTCTCTGTCCCTTCTGGTGACCAGGGTTGCATGGTGACCTTAGGCAAGAACCATTTGAGGAACCACTTTCCTCGCGATACCAGAATTTGCCGGCGTTGCCGGAGCTCGCGCCACAGCTGTTTGCAACGATTGCAACATGGCTACCCTGCTCTGATGTATAAAACGCACGTATAGCTCCAGCTACAAAGTTCCCACATGCTACAAAGTCCGAAACAACATAGCTTTTTGTAAATGCATCTTGCGGTCTTTGTGCTGTTTGGAGCTCGGTTGCGGTGCACACCTGTCTGCTTCAGGACAGGCTCAGCAGGCCAGGAATCTTTGTCACCAGCTGAATGACATTGAGAAACATCTGGAAACACATCGAAGAACTCCACCAACCCTGCCATGGATACAAACTCGGCTACGACAAACCCCTGCTACCGGCTATTTACATTACAAACTTTTGCGTTCCTCCAGGTCATGAGCACATGATTGACAATTCACACTGACATGCCCGCGAAGACGGTGCACTCGAATTCCAAACGCACACCCAGATCTTTTTATCTTGGGAAGGGGGATCCGGTGTACACACTTGATCTGGTTAAGTGGAAATTGGGACGTTGAAGCTCAATTTCTATCAAGTCAAAACTGGAATGATGAAAATCTCTGCTCTGAGGCCATCCCAAATGGATGACTCTGCATGTCCCTGTTG